GTGGTATAATTTAGCCTCTGGATCTGTCGGATATATGTGAATACTATTGGTAATTTGCAGGCACATATGCTTCAACTTGAGGCGTTTGCAGTTGCAATCAATAATTTGGAAGCAGGAGTTCCAAGACCTAAGCTTCAATTTGTTGGTAGTTGCCGGAATGAAGCAGATGTGAGGAGGTTACAACATTTGAAGGATCGAACCAATGAGCTGGAGCTGGAGCTGGAAAGTGATGTGGAGTTTCACAAAAATGTAACCTACAGGTTATTTTATTTTTCGCCTTTTGCGGCTACCAATAAAAAAAAACAGTAGACCCTAATATGATTCTACCTGGTTGTCTGCTAGATTCTATTATCACCACATGCTGCAGATCTCACAGATTCTAAGCAAAAACTGAAATTTGAATTCTATACTTCGATTTTGGAAAGTGATTTTATCTGTGCGGGTTCTATCTTCTAACGACAATTTGTTACATATTAATTTGATAGTACTATATTGTTAGTTGTTTTTACAGTTACTGCTGCAGTTTTTCGTAATTAGGTGAATCTCATATCATATTAGCGATGTGTATCCCTTTTGATGTGTGTACTTTATTTTCAGCAACTTAGCATTTTTGTGGTTCAATAATATCTGTCTCTTATTTTTTCAGTGAGCTGGTGACTCTTTTGGGTGCTGCAACTGCCGGAATCCATTCCATGATAGACGAGCATTTTGGCATCAGTGTGGTGGAATACATGGCTTCTGGTGCCATACCTATTGGTTCGTTATTTCACTTTTCTTTTTCTATATATTTTTTTGGGCTATTTTCGCATGCAAAAACAGTGTATTTCAGAATGTTTGTCTTTAATTTTTTCTTTTAAAAAAACTAAATTCTCAGCTCATAACTCGGCTGGCCCTAAAATGGACATTGTGTTGCCTGAGGACGGTAAGCAAACAGGGTTTCTTGCTCAAAATGTGCAACAATATGCAGATGCGATACTTACAGTAACCCGGATGCCAGAGTCCGAGCGGCTTGAGATGACTGCAGCAGCAAGAAAACGAGCTTCACAGTTTTCGGAACAAAGATTTTATCAAGATTTCAAGGCTGCAGTTAGGCCAATTATGTTGCATAATTATTGATGGCTCCCCTCAAAAAAAAAATAAATACAAAAAGTAGATCTAACCATAGATAGGGCAAAATTTCAAATTTAATAAACACAGAGAGAGAGAGATGATTAGCGGGATTTTAATTTTTAGATGCTAAATGGACCTTAAGTTCTCTATAAAACTGAGAACTGGGATTACCTCTTTTTATGTACTTTTACTGTCTTCTTAATGAACTATAAATCTTCTTCTGAAATGGTGATAGCTGAAAGATTTAAATTAAAAAAAAAAAAAGATATTTTAGGAGTTTATTATTATTATTATTATTATTATTATTATTATTATTATTATTATTATTATTATTATTAAACTAAAACATCATGCCTGTGAGAAATACTTTTGCAACCTTTTTGGAACCCAATTGCAACCATAATCATCAATATTATTACCTCACTCCATGCCTTAATTAGTACTATCATTGGGTGAAATTTCGGTCAAAGTCTTCGTCAAACCAGAAATTGCCATCAATTTTTTTTTTTTTTTTACCTTTACAGTGAG